ATCCGCCAGACTGCCGAGACTGCGGAAGCTTGCACCTCTGCACGTGTGCAAAGCGGTAGTAAAGCGAGATTAAGACGGCTACTGAGCCAGCAAAGGGATGGATAGATCCATCTAGACCGCGGCAGATCTAGACGATGGTGAACCACCAGGGGTCTGTCTGCTCTGCCAGGGGTCTGTGTTCTCTGTCACGCTGCCCACGGCCCTCGCCGAGGCCCTCGTAGCCCTTGTCTCGGTGGCACGCGCTTTTTGGACAGCCGCCGTGCGGCGCTATTTCTGATGCCAAGGGAAGTCGCCAGAAAGTTATCGAGCCGGAATATGCGGGTTCATGGGCGATGAACCTCGACCAAGTGCCGCCGCTTCGCGATGCTTGAACGGCGGCCGGTGGGCGTTAGGCTGCCGCGGCGGCCGGCGTAGCGGGCAGTCGCTCTGCCCCCGCCTTACGTAAAGGCTATTTCCGCCGGTTTGGCGCACGCCCCGCCACGCCCCGCGGACCCAAACCGTCTCACGCCGCGTTCCGCGCACGAAACTCGATTCCGCTAAAACGCGCTCGCTTTTCGCACGGCGCGATGCTCGATGAAGACGCGTATCGCGTTGCGGTGCCCGCGCTGTCTTCGGGAACGTGGGCCTCTCCACCTGCAGCACGTCCTGGCTTTGCCCGTCGGAGGTGCTAGCGACACTTTTATCTTGTTTCTTGGCGGGGGGTTGGCCGGTGGTCCCGTTGGAGCGGGGTTGTCGGCACGGCGTCTAGCCGGTGTGGGACGGCGGGGACGGCGTCGGTGTGACCCGGGGGCGCCGGCCGACACACCTGTCGGCCCGATCCCCGATCCTCCCCGTCCGAATTCCTTGGCAGGGCCGCCGAGTGTGTGATCGACCCCGCCCGTCTCCCCAATTTTTCGCTTTCGCCCGATCGGGGCGGGCCGGGGCCGCGAGGTGTTCGTCTGGCCGGTAATAAATCGTGGCCCACTTGTGGGCGCCCGGCTAGACGACGCGGTGCTCCTGGCACTTCATGAAGGACCCGGCGACGCGGCGCGCTGATGCAGCCAGCCGATAGCGCCGTGCGAGGCTGGCACGCTCTCCCCCTTCTCTCTCTCTCACTCCCGGCTGCCACTGCTAGCGCCTTACGAGCTGCAGGTAGGCAAGCCCGCACAGCGACGTGTTCGGCGGGACGGCCTGCTCGCCCCTGGCGTCCCCCGCGCAGCACCAAAGGGATTCCGCGCTCGCGACCGACGGCCTGTCTCTCTCGCGCCTGTACCAGGCGGGACGTCCCGTGAGTGCGAGGGAGAGGGGCGAGAGGCCTGACGCGGCCGTGCGATGCAGGTCGCCGAGTCGTCCCTCGCGCCTGCATTCCTGCGTGGCACTTCGTGGCGAAGGACGCCCCGCGCCGTGGACGCGCCGCCCGCCTCGGCTCGACACACTTCGCCCGAATCCCCTATAAATAGAGGGCGACTGCATTTGTGTGCCAGAGGCCCCAGAGGCCCCAGAGGGGCGTTGCGTGGCGCCGCCCGACGGCCCGCCATCGGCCGAGTCGCTTCGAGAAGTTTGACTGACGTCGCCCCGCGTCGCCCCGGCCCCGGCCGTGTCGGAGAGTCCTTTGAAGTTTCGGCATTTATTTGTTTTTCGGCGCGCGCGCGTATGATCCTGTCTGTCTGTGCCCCCCGCGGGGTCGGCGGCCGGGGTAGTTCATTCACAGCCCCCTCGCGGCCCTTGTGTCATTCACGTCCACTACTACGCGCCCTCACACACACTTACACACGATTGTTATCTCTGAATGAAGCTGACCCTAAGGGCGCAGGGCGCGCAGGGCCCCGTGGCGGGGCGGTGCATTGTGTGCGGTGGGCCTGCGTCCAAGCGGCGGGGCGTGGCGGGGCGCGCGGGGCATGGCGGTCGCGTAGGGCGCACTACTTCTACTACAGTGTGTCGCACCGCAGTCGCCACCAGGCACTTCATTAGCTCGTCGTGTGCATTCCCTTGCCGCCGTTGCCGCGCCCCAGGCCGCCCGGCTCAGCGACCCGGTCCGAGCCCTCGGACACTTGCACGGGTACGGCGCGCCGCCGGCGATTTCAACGCCCGGCGAGGAGGAGGCTTCGGTCGCGGAGCCTCCACTCTGCGCTGTGCTCGTGCTAGTGCTCGTGTGGAAATAAAATAAACCCGGCGTCTCTGCGGCCGGTGTATCGCAATTTTGTTTTAGGTCGTGGGTTCCATTTTTCATCGGGGTTGGTTTCATCGAGCTCAGTTTCATCTGTTCTTTCACCTAACTTCTTCTTCTTCATCCCTGTCGTAATTTTGTCTGGTTGGATTAACGTGAGCGCGGCCTCAGCGCGGTGAGTGAGTGACTGTCCTCAAAGGGGCGGACCGAGTTCTTAAAGTGCAGTACGGCCTTAAAGAAGAGTTTCTATCTCAACCCGAACCATTGTTGTTTATGTACTGAGATTGATGCTTTACTGCCACATTGTTCAATAGTCGGCCGGTTCTTGGCACGCGGCGAAGTCGGTTAGTGGTCGTCTGCAAAATTCTGGTTGCTTGTTCCGCCGCCACTGGCGCTGCGCGGCTCAGCACCCTCCCCTCCCACACGGCCCGGCCGGCCCGGCCGGGGCTTGTCCTCTCGTTGGCGACGGCCAGTCTCGCTGCACACGGCACTGTCCGGGGCGGGGCGGGGCGGGGCGGGCGCCGTGCGGTAGGTTGGGTTGGGGCGCGCGTTTTCAGACAAACACGCACGGGGCCCTGGGCGAGGCCCTGGGCGAGGCCCTGGGGGTGACGGGGACGCCTTTGAACGGCCACTTTGAGGAGGGAAGCCGCTTTCCACGCCGCGGTGCCGCGGTGCCGCCTGTTGCCGTCCCTCTTTGCCGTGACGTGTCGGCGGAAAAAAATTGGGAGGGGACCGAGGGGTTCGGGATGTTACGCAACTCTTTTGGGGAACCTTGCCCCTGGGTCGCTTTGCCGTAAACCTTTCAAAACAGCGTCGCGACGCCGGTCCTTCTGCACGTTTCGCTGCATCGCGACGGCGACTTCGCGTCGTGCGAATAGAGTCGCACGCATTTGGACTTATTTAAACGCGCCTGGCAACACTGGCGGCAGACGGAGCCGGTCCGGTGCCGGGCTATGAAAACAGGCGGAAGCCTTGGAGGGAGGCTGCGCCGCTGAGGCCAGTTTCCGTCTATTTCTGCGGCCGGTTGCCTCGAGAGGGACTTATCCGAGCGAGGGCGTAAAGCAACGCAAAACAAGCGGCCCTGTTTGCAGTTTCGCACAGCGCGTTGGACGGGCCGCTGCAGACGCGGTCTGGCGTGGCACGGTGCCCGCGCCGGGCGCTACTCGCACGCCGCTACGCTGCAGGGAACCTCCAAACAGTGTTACTTCTCGTCGAAGACGGGCCTCAAAAGCGGCCCAATTAGAAGCATCCCCAAACAAGAAAAACAAGAGCGTGGCGCGAAAATTACCGGCCGCCTGCGCCTTGGCGACCGCGCGGCCCGCGCCACTGGCGGGCGCGCAGGCACGGCCCCACTCTGCGCGCGGCGCGGTGCCAACGAGGTCCCCTCGCCGTCCCCGGCGGCAGGGCGGCGGCCCCCTCCCAGTCTCCGCCATCGAGAGCGCCGCCCCGACGCCCCGACGCAGTCCCCAGGGTATCCGCTGTACTGGCAGCCCGGCTCACCCGCGCAGGCCAAAAATGGCCCGGGCCGGCGGTGACGTCATAGTGTCTGTGGGAAGACCCGGGCGGGGAGCAGGGCGCGCTTAGGGTGGCGCGGCGCTTGGCGTGCCGCACGCCGTGCCGCACCCTCACACTCGGCTCCCGTCCCGCGGCCCGCCGGGTGGGTACTCTACAGTCAGACGGCGCTGACCGCAGGGCCAGAAGGGAAAGGGCTGGCCCGGCCGCAGGGTGCTGCTTTTTGAACCGGCTGAATGGATGCGCCAAGGCCGCCCCAGATCGAGAGCCCTTAAGCCCCTGTTTACGCACGTTTGGCGACCTCGCTCCGAGACGCCACCGCGCCGCCGCCGCCCTAGAGCCCCGCGGCGACGCTGTTTGATCTGCAGAGGCTTAGGCGTCGCGGAGGACAAGGCCGTGGCGAGGAAGGACGCAGGGCTCAGGGCCGCAAGGCGGTACTGGCTGGACCCGTGCGGCCGGGCGGAGGCTCCGCGTCGACTTCGTGAAGGGTGCTCTGGCGGTGCCGCGCGCAGCACTGCGGCTATTGTTGGCGCCGTGTAAACAAACAGCTGCCAAAGCGGTGGCGCTTGGCCGCGCTTGGGCGCGCTTGGAGGCGCCACGTCCGTCAGGAGCTGTCCGCGCCCCGCCAGCCCCGCCGGCCCGGCCACGGTGCCATTGCGGCAGATGGACATTGTGGCTGGGCGCTGCGCATTGGGCCACATGACGTTCGGTTGACCCTGTGAGACCCTGATTACAATTATAGACGAAGCTGGGCGCTGCTGCTGCGGCCAAGTCCGAGCCGGGCCCCAGGCAGCCGCAGGCAGCCGCAGGCAGCAGGGCTTGGTTGGACCAGCCGCGGGCCGCCTGGTCCCATGACGGCCACGACGGTCAAGACGCGGCCAGTTGTCGGGCTGCCCGCGCTGCGCGCTCTGCCAAGGTGCTCTGTTCCCGCGAGGCATGTTCGCGGTGTGATGGTCGATATCGCGCGAGTGAGCGCCGCGCTGTGCCGTGTGGAAGCCGCGGTCTCGCCATGGGCCTCCTTCTGTCTGTGCTCGTCGTCTGCGTGGGCGTCTTCGAGGCGCTGGACTGTTACTACCACTTTCGTGCTGGGCTGCTCCCGCCTGCGCGCGCTGCTCCGCTCGGCGCGGCCGGCGCGGCTCCCTCTGGATGGCGCTCGCACCTCACGAACTTGAACGAGCGCTGGCGGAGAAAGCCGAGCGCCGCCTTGACCTGGGGAGGCGGGGGCGGCAGTGCCGGCGGCAGTGGCGGCGGCGGAGAGTCAACCCCTTCCTCCTCGGCCTCCTCAGCCACCTCCGCCGGCGACGACGCGTTGGGCAAGAACGCGCTCCAAGAGTGTACCCTCCCCACTCCTGGCTCTCACTGCCAACCCAACGGGCATGGTTCGAGACCACCACCCCGCTGGTTAAACAGCCCTCTTGAAGATACCCTTGGCAATGGGAGTGAGATCCCCCGCTCTGAAGAATCGCCCGCGACTCTAAATATAGCCTCGCCAGAACGAAATGAGCTGGCTGAGTTGAAAACTTCATATGATTCCAACAGTGGTTCACCTCCTGCTCAAGATGGGGCAGCTGGACACCGTCCCAGAGAGTCCAGGCGGTCCTCTTCCGCGGACAGGCCTGTCTCTATTCCAGTTGTTGGCGCGGAGTCCCTTGGTTTGCTTGACGCAACCGAGGACGCTCCCCGCAGACTCTCAGAAGCATTTCCAGAAGCCAAGGACCTTCCGCCTGCTCCGAAGGAGTCCCTCAGGGTTGACGTCGACCTGCCTCGCCGAATCTCTGAAATTGACGTGGACGTACCCTCGCCGTTGCCGGATTCGAACCCGGACAAACCTCGCCGTTTGTCCGACTTTGCTGTCCCGAATAAAACGTCAACGAAGCCAACTCAGTTTGGGGCTACTCCTCCTGCTGTTGACGAGAAACCTCAGCGGTCGCATAGTCGCAGGAACACCCTGTCACCACAATATCCCGAGGACGATATGCCACGTCGTGTTTCCGAATCTTCTTTCTCTGGATCAGAGCCCACGTCGCCTACAAGGAAGTCATCCAAAGTCGACATCAGGTGGCCCACGTTCACTCCATTGCATCCCGCTCACAAGTCGACTCTTTTTAGGCTTGAAGACGTGATGTCAGTTGATGTGGAAGATGATGTGTTCCTACCGACCCCACAGAAAATCATTCCGAAAAGGAGTAGTAGCAAAAGTCCCCTGACCGAAGAAAAGCATCCTCGCCTAGAAGAAACAACGTCCATTGCAGATGTTACGCATGGGAACTTCCAAAATTTGGAGTATAAGCAACTGACAGATTTTCTTTCATTCTTAGATGAGCACATCCACGAGGATGACTGTATGAATCTTTGGAATTCAGTTCAAAGTTCTGATCCTTTAGCAGCTCGGCGTTCCGATAAATGTAACGATTCAGTTGAAAACCCTTCCAGACAGTACCTAGAACTGCAAGATTTCCTTAAAAGACAATATGTTGATGAAGAAAATAGTTCTGAGGCACTGGAGAATGTTGCACGGAGCAGAGACTCGCCAGTGGACTCTGCAGCTGAAATTCAGAAACTCGTTGCTCCCACGCTCAGTGCAGACTCAAATGACTCGAAAAAAGAATATATGGAACTTTTAAACTTCTTGTTTTTATTAAGAGCACAAGAGGAGACCCCAGAAGAGCCCTTACTTCAAGAGTACTTTGAAAGGAAGAGACAAGAAGAGTTCCTTGTATCTCCCAAGTGCGATTTAAACAGCCAGCCTTCCAATAAATTTAAAGAATACGAACTATTACAGCAATATCTCAATTCATTGCCAGAGACAGAGTATCCAGCCTCCAATGACGTCCAGTATGTTGATCTTGAGGATGCTCCAATGGATTCTGCAGCTGAAATTCAGAAACTTGTTGCTCCTACGCTCAGTTCAGACACAAACGATTCGAAAAGAGATTACATGGAGCTTCTTAACTTCTTATTTTTATTAAGAGCACAAGAGGAGACCCCAGAAGAGCCCTTACTTCAAGAGTACTTTGAAAGGAAGAGACAAGAAGAGTTCCTTACGGCCCCCAGCAATAATGTCAATAACCAGCCTGCCAATAAATTTAAAGAATATGAACAATTAATGCAATTCCTCAAGTCTCTGCCGCCCGACCGTACTTGCCTGAGCACAGAAACAATTAATGTACCCTCCAATGCTTCTCCATCTGCAACTAAATCAGGATCAAAATTGTCCCCGAAACCCGATTCCCAGGCAGAAGACGAGACCACGGTATGCTCAGAGCTGCCCCTGCGTTCTCCCACGCACTCGGAGCTGGTCACTGTGTCCACGGAACCACAGCGCCTCCAGATGCCAGTACGGTCGCAGTCCTTCGAGGCCGCCACCCCTGAACTGACGGAATCGGCCATCAAAGCCGCCCTGGAGGCGTCGGCAAGCCGAGGCGAAGAGGGAGAAGACGCAGAGGTGGCCGCCATCACTGCCCAGGCTTCTCAAAGACAGAGCAAAGACGAATCTTCGACCGATGTTGCACCGACCAATGGCCACCCTTCTAGGTCAGGGAGTGCCACTCCTATTGCTGCGCAAGTTTCGTCGCCAGGCGCCCAGCGCACGACGGCCCCGGTTCAGGAACAGAAAGAGAGTTCTGCGGGGCCATCACAACCGTCGCAACCCGCTCAGCAACCAGAAGCCTTTTGGGTAAGAGGGAGCTGCTGCATGGAATATCGAGCACGGACATCGATGGACAGCATGATCCTGACTGCCTCATGGAAACATTCCACTTCGTAGTGTTCTTCTCATAGTGCAATGTAAGACTTGGCGACTTCTTCTTTTGCGTTGCATGCGCTACATTCTACAATTTCTTGAATCTGCATGCCTTAAAAAGTTACGTAGTTCATTCTCGCTTTTGCTCTTTCTTGCATCTCAATAGGCTTTGAATTGATTTATTTCTATCTTCAAATTTTACGAAATAAACCGTATACAGAAGACAAACCACAATGTGCTCCTGTACTATCCACACTTACCTCTCTCTCGCACACACTCACACATTCAAAATGATACTCTAGATAAAAAAGGATCACCCAAAATACGCATCCACTTCAGGAAATATTTATAGTACTTGTGTTCATAGCAGCCGTCAGCAGTCAGTTGCGTAAGCGCCATTATTTTGAGCGTTTGCGAAAGCAAAACATTGATAAACATACATCGACGACACGTCACGGCCGCCAACAGACCCCCTCGGACAAGCTGCTGTTGCCAGGCTGTTGGCTGCGAAAGCAAGGACGTGCAAGCAATTGGTGGGGGGATCATAAACCTAGACAAAATACGCGATGACCCGAACAATCCTTGTCATTGCGTTAGAGCCCTTTTGATGAATGGTTCGGCACTGTGTGAGGGCTAAATTTTACTTTTTAACGCCTGCAGAACTGTATTCTTACTGCTGCCAAGTCGCAGACGCTCAGCGTTCCTAGACGAGGCCAAGTGCATCGCCCGCGCAAATTGAATGCGGATTGCCAAATGTAAACAAAGCCGATGTTTTGGTTTATTTTTAGATCTTTGCGACTGGCGTGTCAAGAGCTTGTTGTTAAGTCAAATTGTTGCGATAAAATTGCCTCTAAATTGCCGCAACACCTCCTACAGTGGTGTGGATAAGTCGCCCACTGCTCGTAAGGTAGGCACCCCCGCGCAATCCGCCCTCAAATTCCACTGCTATGCTAATTTTATCTGAAAGACCGCGAATAGCGCGTGGGCTCTTCCCGCAATGTCACAGTTTATTTTGTAGACATTCATAAAATTGTAGGCTTTTCTCATGAGTTTGTAGTTACAACCTGAAGCACCTAGACGGACACGTGTGGGACACTTTGACCGCGACTGTGTCGGGTGCCTCGGCGCCAGGTTTGCTGCCGATTGTGGTTGATTTGAAGCCCGACCCGGCGGCGCGCCTAGAGTGCCCAGACGGCCCAGACCCCCTGGCTGCCACGTTGTGGAACGGCGCCATTGTTCTAGACATCGGCGTGTTGGCATGGCCCGGCCGGCATGGCCCGGCCGGCACGGCCCCTGGCAAAGATCAACAAACGCCTAATTGTTTCGTGGCAACGGTAAACGTTACGGGACGTTAAACGCGTCGGTTTGAAAAATTGAAAAAATAATTTTGTTAATCTGCATGCAGTGGAGTCATTGTATTCACCAGGGCGACATTTTTCGCCCACGCTGGCTGGATTGGAGCGGATGGGTATTGATGGTGCTGGTGCCGCGCCGTGCTTCGCCTGGTTCGCGGCAGGTCAAGAGGTGGCTGCTCATTAGTGCGTCCGTCGGCGCCGTCAACGAGTGCCTGCTCGCAGTGGCGTGGCGCCACTCTTGGCGGTCATTGCCCAGGGGCACGATAGTGCCTTATCCCTCCTCGACGGCGGCTGGGCGGCTGAGCCTTGGGCTGAGCCCCCGGGAGCCTTGGCCCGGGGCTTGCCTGGCTTACCGGGGCTGGGAGTGGCTACCATGACCTCACCACGAGCTATAACATCCCTGGCCCCCTGCAGTGCCCCGGCCGGCCCCCTCCACCCTGGTGCGAGGGAGAAAGGTGCGCCCCTCGAGGGGGATCGAGAGAAACAAATATGAGTGATTTTCCCTCCTCCCCGCGCGGCTCGGCGCGGCTCGCGGCGTGGCTCGGCGTGCCCGTTGCACACGATGTTGCCCCCCTACCGCCCTGCCGCCCCGGGTGGGGGCGTGGGGGCGCGTGGCCGGGCCCGCGGGCCTGCCGGGCCGGCCGGGGCGTCGGTGGAGAATCTTTTAGGCGCTCAGTTTTTCCGAAGCCCCCCGTAGTGGTGTGTGTGGTCCGAACCGAGCCGAGTCGCGCGTGTGGTGAAGTGCGTGTCGTAGCGACCAGTCCCGAGCAGCCCGAATCGCCATGGCGGACGTGGAAGTGCAGATGCAGTACACGACGACGGAGAAAAAGACGCGACGCGTCAAGAAGACGAGCAGCAAGCGTCGCGAGAGCAGCGATGGCAACCAGGTCGAGAGCGAAGTGACCATCTCCGAGCTGGGCAACAACTACAACGACCAGGGGTATGTGCTGGTCGCGTCACCCGCGTCGTCCGCGTCGCGTCGCATCGCGCTGCGTCCCGGGGCGGGCAAGGCCACTTCCAGCATCCCCCTAACGGCCGCGTCGACGGCGTGCCTTCGCGCTTTTTCGACAGCGGGCCGCGCCGGCCGGCGGCCGCGTGTCTTGCGGCGCTTGGCCCGGCCGCGGCCACGCTTGGCTCCCCTCGGCGCTCAGCCCACAGCTCGGGCTCAGAGGATTAGGGGCGACGCGAACCGCGGCCCAGGCCGGCCAGGGCGAGGGCCAGGCTCATCAAGGCGGGGAAGGGGCCCCTAGGGCCGTCGTCGCCCTGAGTGCCGCGTCGTGCCGCGTGCAGCCGGGCTGTCAAACGGCCCGCCGACACGCCCGGCGCGGCCCGGCGCGGCAGTCTGGTCGCGAACCGCGTCACCGCGTCCACGTCGCGAACGTCCCCGTCGTCTCCGTCCCCAAGCCCGCGTTGCAGCCCGCGCCGCGCCGCGCTGGGTCCGGACTGTAAGTGCCGCCGCGTTGTCCGGCAGCGCGTCGGCCGTCTGTGTCTCTCGCTCCCGTTCCGCGCGGGTGCGAGAGAGACAGAGCGACGAAGCGTGGCTGTGCAGCCCCTTTCGCTTGGCGAGGCGTTGAGTACCGCGCCGTGCCGCCAGTCAGCCAAGTGTTGTGGCGGCCGTGCGCTATCAGCGGCCGAGGGAATGACCGCGTCGATACCCCGCGCGCCATGGAGAGCCTCTCGCGCGCGGAGTAGCGACCATCGACCCTGTGCCGCTGATATGGCGCCTCGGCGCAGTAGTAGAGTCTGCTTCATCGCGCTAGACGCATTTGCTAAATTTGCCTGTGAAAGATAAAAGCTGCAAGTGAGCAGTCATGCCACTATGTCACTCTCACTTTCTTCATCATTGCTTTCAAACTACGTACTCTAAATTCGTTGGTCAGTCCTTTTCATGCAGCACTGTTCACGCCTCTGCCAACTCTCAGACTAAACTCGAGCGCACATTCATGGAACTAACATGGCACGTCTCATTGCACTGGCACGGAGAGCGGCGCCGTTGCCGCGTTCGTAACAGAACAGAAGCTCAGGGGGAAAGACGGGCGTCAACTTATTGATACCACCAACAACGGAACTGTGCGTCCGCCCGCGATACAGTGGAGTGCCTTCCCCGATAGACCCACCCACCTAGATAGGGACATGGCCGACACCGCCCTGGGACAAACACTCGTTCGATTTACCTCGTTACCTACGTTGTCCAGCACATGCCCCTAGACTAACCCAAGGTAATTTGGCCCCAGGTGCACCTCACGACAAGCAGGCATAAATGTGCACAGAACCAGAGTGACATGTACGTGTGTGTTTGTGTGTGTGCGTGTGTGCGCGTGTGTTTCGAGAGACATTTTGCAGCACAACATGTCATCATTCGAGTCACGATGAGCAAATCAAAAGTGTTGCACTGTCCCAGCATGTGTGTGTGTGTGTGTGTGTGTGCGCGCGCGCGCGTGCGTGCCCCGTCCGTTGTGAGGCGTGGGCGTGGCCGCCTGCTCGGCGGTGTCGCGGTGTATTTTCGTATTTTCGGGCCGCACCGCCGCGCGCTTTAAAACGGTCCGCTCGCTAATCGGTGGCCGTCGTTTAGACTTGGCCGAGTGCAATTTGGGGCGGTCGCTCTGTCTCTCTCGCTCTCACTACTCTGGACCCGTGAGTGCGAGAGAGACAGAGCGACCCACTGCCCCGCGGTCCGCCGCGCTTGTTGGCGGCATGCCGATGTACTGTGAAGCGCAGCGCGCAGCGCGCTCTGTCGCCGCGCTTGAGTAACCGGCGTGACATGACATGCCCCCGGTCTCGTCCTGCTCGCTTTAGCCCGCTGCCGCCCCTCTGGGGGCCACGGCGTGGTATTTGGGTCAATTTGCGCGCCGAGACGCGCGACGAGGGATTCTTGGACGTACTAGAATGCGTTGGTTTCGGAGGGATCATTGGTAGCACTAGAATGCGTAGCTTTCGGAGGTATCATTGGCAGCACTAGAATGCGTTGATTTCAAGTTTCAAACCCGACTTTAAGGACGCACCACTCTTCAGTGCGCGTGCTCCTTTTGTGCTCTAAATTTCGGTCTGGGACTCTCGGAAAATGAAACCGAATTTCGAACTCTAAAACTTTTTAAGTCGCTCTAAAAGCTTAGCGAAGGAACCTGGCCTAAATGATGTCAGTGGCTGTCACGACCGTGGTCACGACGCTGTGACTGCGCCCTCTTCGGCGGCCCGGCCCCCGGCCCCGCTTTTGCGGTCTCTAGAAGCCCTCTACTTTGGACCACTCGGCCGGGGCCGCGCTCCCAGCCGAGCCGAGAGGAATGCACCCACTTGCAGTGGCGCGGCGGTAGGCCCACTGCAGGCCGTCGCTCTGTCTCTCTCGCGCACCCCGACGGAACGTCCCCCGAGTGCGAGAGAGACAGAGCGACGAGAGCGCCGCTCAGCCTGCCGCCGCCCCGCGCCGCTTCTATTCCCTGTTAGTCGAATAAAAATAGACGCCGCGCCCCAACAAACAGCGCAGCAGCCACCTCAAAGCGGGAGGGGGAGGGGGCAGACGACCTCCGTGTCAATACGAGCGTGCTGCGGTTTGTCCATAAGTGTTACATGGAGAGAACCTGGGTTCGGTGATTGTGTATGTATGTGTGTGTGTGTGTGTGTGTGCATGCGTACGTGCGTTTCCTTGAGTGCGTGTGCAACTTGAAGGTACCTGCCGGCCGGCCGGGCGGGAGGGGCCCGAGACTGAAGCCCCGGCGGCGCATTGTGTTTTGTTGCAGTTGATTTTCAGTGGCGAGTACACCAAGGCCATGTCCAAGGACTGGCACGCGGGGCACTTCTGCTGCTGGCAGTGCGACGAGTCCCTGACGGGGCAGCGCTACGTGCTGCGCGACGAGCACCCCTACTGCATCAAGTGCTACGAGTCCGTGTTCGCCAACGCGTGCGAGGAGTGCAGCAAGACCATCGGCATCGACTCCAAGGTGCGTGTCTCTGTCTCTCTCGCACCCACACGCGACTCCCCATGAGTGCGAGAGAGACGGAGGCTTCTGCGGCGCGTGGCGCCCGCGGCGTAGGCAACCCATACGGCTCCGCCGTCGAGGGGTCTGCCGCCGCCTGGCGGGGCGCCAGCCGGCGTTTTTGTTGTTTGCTCGGCGCTTTTGATGTTTCCGACTGACTCTTCCTCTCCTTTCCAGGATCTGTCGTACAAGGACAAGCACTGGCACGAGGCCTGCTTCCTGTGCTCCAAGTGCCGCGTGTCCCTGGTGGACAAGCAGTTCGGCTCCAAGGCGGACCACATCTACTGCGGCAACTGCTACGACGCCCAGTTCGCCTCCCGCTGCGATGGCTGCGGCGAGATCTTCCGTGCCGGTGAGTACCGCCTGCCGTCGCTACCCCACGCGAGTGGCCTGTCGCCGCGGAGATACCCCGCGCTGGGCCCGGCCGCACGCCCACGCCCCTCGCCGCCACGCCGCCGTGCCAAACAGTGCCAGGCCCGGCCTGCCAGCATGCTGCCAGCGTGCTGCCAGCCCACGCGGAAGGACGACTGTTTGTCGACGCGGTGTGTCCCGTCTCCACGCTGGCCGGCCGGAGTGCCGAGCCGACGGCCGATTCTGCCATCCAAATGGAAATCTTGCCGCGGCACTGTTATCGGGCGGGACTAGTGTACCCGAAATGTATCCGTCTCTGCGGGATTTATTGCCCGTATCCGGTGCCGCGGGGGAAGGGGAGGGGATTCGATTTCCCTGTCGCTCCGGTCGTCCTCCGCGGAGTAGTGTGTCCCGGCCGGGCCCCGCGGCGAGGACCTTGTCGAGTCCTCCAGGCCCAAAGTTTCCCCCAGTGGTGCCGTGGCTCGGCGCCATTAGGCCGCGGGCCCGGCACACCGATTGCGAAGAGTCGCTCTCTCTCGCACTCACGGGGCGTCCCGGGTGAGAGTGCGACAGAGGCGGGCCAACGAAGCGACGGGCTGCTGGTGTAGGGGCTGTTGCGCCCGGGTAGCGCATTGTGTCGGCCGCGTCGACGGGTGCCCGGCGGCGACCTTATGGATGACTGCCCGACACGGCCGCTGTGTTGTCTCATTTTCCGCGCGCCCCGAACCCGAAAGCCCAACGCGGCCTGTCTGGAGACTTGAGAAAGGGGAGGGGGTGGCGGGGATGGTTCGTGTCGCGGACGGGTCCCGCCCCACCCTCCACGCTGCACCCTTGCTCCTGCAGCCCTGACCTTCGACTTGGTGCTAGTCGCCACCGACCGCGTCCCTGAAAAAAATTCTGGATGGAAATTTTGAATGCTCTTTTGGGTAACCTTCGTTTGAGCTCGAAGTGGACGAAGGTCAATGGGAATAGCTTCAGGTGAACGAACGTGAAGCGGGCATGTCGTTTTTCTGATGGAGTCCTTCCGCCCCTTGTCTGCTGTTATCACTGCCCGGAGCCCCGCTCGCTCTCACGCTGGCGATGGGGGTAGGCCGTTTGCGGGCAAGGGGCACAGGCAGCAGGGAAGTCGCTGGGTTTTGCCTAGGGCCCCACTGCACCGTGCCTCGCTGCCGTTTCTCGCTTCGACTCCAGGCGACGGGCTGACGGCCTCCTTGGGCAAACCGCCTGAGGGCCACTCCAGCCGGCGGCGGTGGACTCTGTCATGTGTGGCTTGCCGTCGACGATCACAGCAGCCGCGTCTCCCAAATTCCTTCCGGCGATAGAAAACAAAAGTGGTGTTTTCAGACGGATCCACGTGATTGGCTTTTTGTTTTTGTTTTATGCCGAGGATTTAGTGCGAGCGATTTTGTGCCGACGCAGCGATCACGCTCAAATCGCCGCTCTGGTTCGGCGGCTGTTTTCCGGCGGGACGTGGGAGTCGCTCAATCGGCCAGGGGACATAAATTGGGATTCGCTGTGATTAGTTCTGGACGGCATGGCGCCCAAGCTACGCGTGTCCCTCTGTGGGCGTGGCATGGCGGGGCGGGGCGGCGTCCTTCCGGGCGGCAGCCGAAGGCATCCTGTGAGCGTCTTGGTCCGTCATCACACTACCTGCGCACTTATGACCTTGTTTGTCACGGGCCCGCGCGTTTGTGTGTGTGTTTGTGAGTGTGTCTGTGTGTGTGAGTGCGCGGGGCCTTAAGCTCTGTCGCGGCACTGGCCATACAATGGCCTGCCCACTCAGCGCGACTCGGACAAAAAGCACCTACGACGGCGCGCGGTGTAGTGGGCCAGTCCGGCCTCTAGTCCGGCCCCGCGGACCTGCAGGCGAACTCAGGCCGCCGTCCTCCGCGTGCTGCGCGTCCACTAGAAGAGCGCTCTTCGTTTCCTTCTCCAGCAAGTCGAGGCGCCGCCGGCATTTTTATGCGCAGGCTCCGCGGCGGGGCGCCCCAGCCTGTAGGGGCCTGGGGGGCGTGGAGGCGCGCGGCGTGCGCAGCGTGCCGCCGGCCTGCTCACTGTTTCCGAGAGCCGTTTTCATCGCTCTGTCTCTCTCGCACCCGTGCGGGACGCCCGACGAGTGCGAGAGAGACGGAGCGATGGACGCGACTCTCGGAATCAGTCCGCTGCCCACTCGCCCCGGCGGCTGGCGGCGACATTAGGGGGCGCGGCGCGGCGCGCGCAAGGCGGAGCATTCCGACAATTTGATTATATTATTCCGCCGAGAATCGCCAATTGCGAATTGCGAGTCGCCGCGCGGCCGATTGCCAGGGAATGCCTGCCTGCCGGGGGGTACGCTGTACGCTGTGGCGAGGCGCACCGCGGCAACAGTGTTGCCAAATAAACGGGAGCGAACGACCCGGCATGTGGGCTTTGCAAAAAAGAAAAAGTCAAAAAATTACAACCAACCTTTGAAAACAAAATCGAAAATTATTTTTAAAAAGAAAAGATCTATCCTAAAGGAAGTAAAGAAATTGGAAAGGATAAACACGCTTGACCTTGCTTGACACCTAGACACGGCAAACAGGTGCCTGCCAAGTGAGTCAGGCAGCCAGTGTTTGAATTCGCCCGGCCCGGCTAGGCTCGGCCTGCCCAGCCAATCTGGTAAACGTAACGAAAACAAAGACGCGCGTTTCGCCCAGTGTCGCCACGCTCCGCAGTCCCGCGCCGCTATTCAAACACGGAGCGCTCAATCAGGAAGGGAGTCGGGCGGGGCTCCCGTGTGCGATTCATCATCGTGACGTGACGTCATGCTGCCCATCACGGCGCCTTGTACAGCGCGCCGCTCTGTCTCTTTCTCGCTCGCCGCGCCGCAGAGGTGTGAGAGAGAGAGAGAGAGAGAGAGAGAGAGAGAGAGAGAGAGAGAGAGAGTTTAGAAGAATGATTGTATTGGGGAGGATGACGAACTAAGCGGCGGCATGCGGAGTTCAATGTCTCGTGACGTGACGACCCGGATGAGCGAGAAAGCGCTTGCGAGAGGGAGACGGGATGTTGAGACCGCGAGTGATGAGAGGGTGCTTAGGGAGAGACGAACGCCAGCGGGCGGCAGCGCGGCGTCTCGCACTGTCTCGTTGCGTGGCTCCGCGTTACGGCCCGGAACAGCGCCAAGCGCCAGGGGGCCAACGTCCAAGCGCGCCTCGCCTTCTCACTTCCAGTGCGGGTCGGTCCTCGCGGCGCTTAGCGGCGCCAAGCGGCGCCAAGCGCCAAGGGGGCGCCAAGGTCCAAAGCGCGCCTCGCCTTCCTCACTTCCAGTGCGGGTCGGTCCTCGCGGCGCCTAGCGGCGCCAAGCGGCGCCAAGCGCGTTAAGGGCGTGGGGCGGGGAGGGAAAGGTTGGAGGGATGAAGGACGAAGGACGCGCCGATCGTAAAGTCCTTATCGAAAAGTTCAAGGCAAAGGAGGCGAGGGCCTGGGACTCCGGCGGGCAGGCTTACTCCGAGAGGGCAGGGCTGGCGGCCGACTTAGCTCAGTAGCGTGCACTTGATACGCAAGCAAGAAGAACAACAACAACTTCAAAAAATTTGGAACGCGCTTTTCAAGTTTTAAAATTTCCATTTGCGATGTTGGCCGCCTTGGACCGCGCCTCGGGCAGCAGGGATGCTTCCGGTGACGCGCTGGCGGTGTAAACGCGCCTCGTGGTATTTCGCAAAGGACACTGCCACTGTCGTGACGTCACTCACGGCGATGACGTCACTTGATAGTGGCGGGTCGGGGTTCCAGGGTTCGGCCCGTTTTACGAGTCCGCCGTGGGACACGACACACTAACCCGATGTGCGGCACGCGGGGCGACGCGGGGGCGGGGCGGGGGGAGGGCCTCGGTGGACGCGTACGCGAGGTCGTGCAGTGTACGCCGCTCGCCCTGGCGGAAGGCGGCCGCGCGAACTTGGAGTTTCATTTTCCTCCCTCTTCCTGCTGTTTTGAGAAAGAGGCGCCGCGCTAACGTCGCTGGCGTGTGTGCTCTGGCCGCGTGACACGTGTTAACCAAGTGCAAACACGGGGACCTCGTCGCGGAAGGCAGTGTACGCAGTACGCAATGCCCCGGTGAGTGGAAGTGCCAATAATGAGTGACTGCCAATAACGATCGGTTAGAGGCGCAGGCCTCGTTGGGTTAAAGGCCCCTCACAAAGGCTCGCGACGGCCGCCTGGCCCGCCTTGCCCGCGGCGTCCTTTTCGCGCAAGTAATTTAATTTCGCCGACCCTGTTCCGGTTCCTGCAGGCCTGCAGGGCGTCCCATTGGCGCCGACGACGCCCCCCGAGGGGCCTTGGGCGCGGTGACGGCCCGCATCGCGTCGCCGGGGTGGCGTTGGTCACGGCGGCGTGTGTGTGTGTGTGTGTGTGTGTGTGCGCGCGCGCTGAAAGGAGCCGGCCGCTGCTGAATGGGGGGCGACATGGTGCGTTTGGAACGGGCCCCCGCGGTCCCCGGGAGTAGGAAGTGCGCCGTGCGCGTTGTGCAACCGGCCGGCCGAGTTGTTTTCATGCGGGTAGCCTAGCCTCCCTTCCTAACGGCACGGCACAGGCACAGGGCCGCCGCGGGGGGCCTCGCGGGACAAATAGGAGTCTCAGGCTTTCCGCGGAAGGCCCCGCCTGGCTGCCTGCCTGGCTCGATAAAGGCTGGGCGGACTGATGCGACTCCCAATTGGGCGATTCGCTCTGGTTGCACCGGGCCTCGACCGGGCCTCGACCGGGCCGCTGCCGTCGTCGTCGTCCTCCTCTGCTATTGACTGGCGGTTCCGCTGACTGGCGGCGCGCGTCGGACACGCAGCCCGCAGCCCGCGGCGGTCTTGTTGGGGTCTTGCCGGGGATCGCGTTCGGCGCGGAAGTCCTACTGGGCCCGGTCGAGGCGGTCGAGGCCCTGCGGGGCTGCCCACGGCGCGTCGCCCCGCACGCACACGGCCAAGGGCGGCGCTGTTGAGCGGGTCGCGCCGCGGCGGCGTCGGTGTTTTTATCGCCCGGGTTCGATCCCATCCC